TTATACGTCTTTTGCTTTTCCTTAGTTAGTTTTTACAGGTTTGTTTTAATTATTATATATCCGTTTTTATCCATTTCAGAGTTTCATATATGAACGACCATTTGCAAATTTCAACTTTCTCGTAGGAAGCTTTTTACAATCCTGTAACTTTTCAAACGTTCAAACACTGTTCAAAATTTTACTTTAATTATTCTACAAAATAGAGCAGTCTACACTTGTATTTGTAATTAAATTTCGTCTCTGTTTGTTTCATAATATGAGTACCTACTGTTATGAAATTATTTCCACTTTTGCTACCTAATTTACTAAACAGATATCTTCATTACTCTTCATTACTTTGTTCCCGGTAATGTCAACAAAATTATTGATAATAGGATATACTTACTGATAACAGTGCCGTTCTCCTTGAACTTTTCGCAAGATATTCACTCTGTAATAGTATCGGAGGGCTCTGCTCATTTTATCGTAATTCATTGAAAGATGATTCTTTTGGATACCCCAGAGCCTCGCAAGACCAGGTGGATCGACGATCTTGAACACACCAGTTTCCCGACTTTTCCACGCGATGTAGTGTGTATACCGTTGCGAAGGATCATTTAAAAGTTGTTGAAGAAAATCCCACAGAAGTCTACCATCTGTGACAAAGAAACATTTTTTATATGTCTTTATCAAGTCAGTTGTTTAAAAGTAATATTGTTATTAATTTTATTAATTAGAATAATTTTACGTTTCTTTTGATCACATTCAGTATTATAGGCTTTCTGTAATACTCCAGTAGGCCTTCTACAATACTTTTACAATACTATCTCTACCCACAATGTGTATCAAATAATAATATTAACATTATTATTGATTGCATTAATTTCATTATATTACTATTATCTATGGTGGAATAATTTTATGTTTCTTTTTGTTATTTTTACTCGGTATTATAAGAAACTACAGAGCTTAAAAAAATTTTATAACCAATATAAATATAGAAGAATGTCCAAGGGTTTAATGATCAAACTATGCCAGTACATTCAACGAATATAGTCAAACAAAAATGTTTGCAATAAAATTTTAATTAATTAAGATCATTTATATCTTAATAATAAAATCCAATAGAGTGAGTATTTTTATATTTTATATTTTTATTAGTTCTTTAACAGAACTTGGTGACATTTTTTGCTTGATTATATCCATAGAAAATACTGAAATAAATTAAATAAATTATGCTGTGCCTTTCATGAAAAAACATTGTTACATAAAACACTGAAATTCCATTACCACTGTATTTATTTCTGTACCAATCTCAAAATTAATGTAAAAAGTTAGAATATGCTTACTGCAAAAAAAAAAAACTTACTAAATGCATTAAATTGCAGCAGCAGTAGTAAAGAAAACACTGGTCTCGTGAAAGCCCACGAATTGGCAAAACTGAATGTACTTACTGGTGTTGGGCTCCGGGGAATCGCTGGGGAAGAATTCTCTCGCGGCGTTGGCAGGGTTCGTTCTGAAGGCACCAGGCGTCAAAGGCATCATCGGTTGCGTTAACGTGGGGCTCGGTTGATCCTTCACGCAAACCTCGCTTAACCTTTGCGCAGCGAGGGCGGTCGGCGTGGCCGGTGGGCTTCCGGTCGCTGCTTGTTGATTATCCTCGTCCGAATCGCTCTTGTAAACCTGGCTCTGGGTTCCTTCCGTGTGCCCTGGCGAGCCTGCTTGACTGTCGACCGACGGCGCCGGGGACAGTGTCACCGAATTGGCGGACATTAACGAGGCCAGATTCGCCGTGTACGGATTCTCCGTCCAGGTTGGTGTAGGAGGATGCGAATGGGGACTGAGGGGGTACGCAGATGGCCTCGTAGGCGTGACAGGGCTGCTGGGAAGACACCTCTGAAGCTGGCTGAAGTCTCTGGCCAGCATCGAGAGCACGTTGTGCAACACGTCACCGGCTCCTGGACATCTTTCTCCTAAATCGGCCTTTGTCAACAAGCAGAGCGCTTTCCCGTTCATTTGGAACATGTCCATGTCGAACTGGGGTAAATCGAATTCCCGCTCGGCCCATCGGAGGAACGTCGCTACGTCCTCGCGGGACCACAGTCGTGGATCCGAAGCTGTTGAAGGAAATACGTGCTCGGTTATTTTTGTGGTTTTCTTTTTTTTTCTTCTTCTTCTTCTTTTCTAGTAGATTATATCAGAGTATTTATACATTTTACAGGAAATTGAATTCTACGACTTCAGTGATTTTATGACCTCGATATCTACGTATGCATCCACGTTAGTATTAAGTATTGACTCCTTTAACCGTGCTTGGAGGAAATCTATTACAAAATATTTTATTTGCAGGATGAGGAAGAAAAGTTAAAAGAAGATTTGAAACTTCGTACAAATATAGTTCACGTAATGCTGATGGAAGAATAAATATAAACACCGTTCGAAGGAGGAATCTTCTTCAAAAAATTTTACCTCACAGGACAGTTTGTTTTTGTATCGCGATATCGAAAAGTTAATAATTTTGAAAATAAAACAAATGCATTTAAATACATGAGA